ACTTACGGACAAAGAGAGAGAGAGAAAAAAAAAAAAAAAAAAAAAAAAAAAATTTGCATTAATAGAAATAAAGAAAAAGAGAATGAGGGAGACAAAAAGAGCGGAGAAAAAGACGGAGGGACAGAGAGGTACACCACAGAGAGAAAGAGAGAAAAAGGGATTTATGGACAAAGAGAGAAGAGAGAGAGAGAGAGAGAGAGAGAGAGAGAGAGAGAGAGAGAGAGAGAGAGAGATTTGCATTTGGAAGGGTCACCCGGTTTGGAGAGAGAGAGAGAGAGAGAGAGAGATTTGCATTAATAGAAAGAAAGAGAAAAGAGAATGAGGGAGAGCAAGAAAAAGACAGAGGGACAGAGAGGTACACCACAGACAGAAAGAGAGAAAGGGGATTTATGGACAAAGAGAGAGAGAGAGAGAGAGAGAGAGAGAGAGATATTTGCATTAATAGCAAGAAAGAGAAAAGAGAATGAGGGAGAGCAAAAAAGAGACGGAGAGAAAAAGACGGAGGGACAGAGAGGTACACCACAGACAGAAAGAGAGAAAGGGGATTTATGGACAAAGAGAGAGAGAGAGAGAGAGAGAGAGAGAGAGAGAGAGATTTGCATTAAAAGCAAGAAAGAGAAAAGAGAATGAGGGAGAGCAAGAAAAAGACAGAGAGAAAAAGACGGAGGGACAGAGAGGTACAGCACAGAGAGAAAGAGAGTAAGGGGATTTATGGACAAAGAGAGAGAGAGAGAGAAGGAGAGAGAGAGAGACTGAGCAAGATAGAGTAAGAGACAAAGAACAGGGACTGAGGAAGATAGAGGGTAAGAGACACAGAAGAGATTTTTATTTTAATTTTTTTTTTGAAAGAAGAGATAAGAGCTTAGGGGCGTGTCAAGCAGAATTCAGCCACACTGTCCCATGATGTTCACATCCATATACATTTCTCATAAGATCAGGTTGAAATTAACATTTTTTAAAAATCACCTCATCTATTCAGAGACCGTATTTTTTATTTTATTTTTTTAATCATGTACCATTACTGAATACAGAGGATCAAAGAAGAAGAAAAAAAAGCCTTTAAAACAAAATCTTCAATCCCTTACTGTATTTTTATATTCTGTTCGGCTTTTTTTTTTCTTTTTTTTTGAAACTCCAGAAAAGGAAGCTCAGGCACATGATGTGCATCTGTCCGAGTTAATCAAATGAAGACGTTTCACATAACAATAAACCATAAACCAATATGATTAGCTGATCCCGCCCATTCAGCTAGAGTGACAGCTGACCTTCTCAAGAAGTACAACTAGCCTGAAATAAAGGGGAAAAAATATGGAAAGAAGGAAAGAGAATAATATATTTCTTGTTTTCTAACTCTTCCAGCATATTACAGCTCCATGGTTGCGGACCGACCCATATGGGTTCTCCAAGCTCCTCCCACTTTATTAATACATCCGGTATATGTAGGTGGATGGGCGAATCAACCCCCCCCCCTCGTGGGTAATGGGGGGGGGGTGCGTGAAAAAAAATAATCCCACCTCCCCTCCTTTTTTTTTTTTTGTGTTTTTTTATGAATAAATGGATGTATACAAAAAAAATTTTTTTATCCCTTTTACACGTTTCTGTAAAGCCGCTTCGAGGCGATGTCCATCGTTGTCCAGTTGATGTCCAAAGCGCTTTACAAACACAATTGACTTTGAAGACAAATGAATAATAAACCATGTCTTTTTCTCTAGTTCGGTCCTCAGAAGCTCGTGAGTGTCACTGCATCTGAGTACCTTTTCGTGAACGTTTCAGAAAATCCACTGGTGGAGGAGCCACTTGTTGTAGTTCAAGCCCTAATTGTGGCTTTAAAAGACTCGTCAGGCAGACGTGTGGATTGTGAAGCTCCTCTGAGCCTGCAACTAATGAGGTTAACTGTGGAATGTGCCTTCTCATACTGTTTCCATCTCCTAACTCAAGAATTGTTGAGAATCATATATGTGTGTATGTGTGTGTGTGTGTTTGAGAGAGAGAAGAGAGAGAGAGAGAGAGAGGATCATCATCCTCCACACCGCCACAATAATCAAATCTGACAAGCCTCAGCCTGTTATTTCATTCTGATGGCTAGTTCCTGGAAAACAGGGCTGCTTCAGTGTGTTTCAGTGAGACGACAGTCCCATCTCCTTCATTTTCTTCAATAAAACTCAAGCTCACATCTCGCTTTCATGTGCTGCCTTTGGCAAGCACGTAGTGCTTTTGGCCTGATGTCAGGTCGACGGCTAATGCGGCGAGTCCGACTTCAGCTCTCTGCAGGACGCTGGGGAGCTGAGCGTGCAGGTCCTAATGAGGAGGAGTGCTCTGCTCCAATCAAGCATGACCGACTAGACTCTTTACAGTGTCTGGTGATTCTACCAATGATCCTTTGCTTCTGCCTTCGGGAAGAATGTCTCTGTAACTGTAGGAAAAGTTTTTGTGTTTGGATATGCTTTGAATGATGCAACATCATATAATAAATGAATGAAGGAGATAGACAAGCTAAGTAAGGAATAAAAACGTAGCGGCATGATGCTACAGGAAATTAATCAAAGGCAGAGTGGTGTGATGGGGTCTGATGTACAGAGTTACTGTTATCACTCTCAAAGATGATTATTTTCCTATAACAGCATGCCATTAAGTGTTTTATTTCTTTACGTCAAGATATCGTTTGGCAAAAATACAGTGGCATGCCTTGGTTTTATAATGGTACATTATATGGACCATTACAATGTGTTATAATATGTTATTTACAGACATATAAAGATTGCTGTTATGGTTGTGAACAAGATGTCAAACTTAGTATATATGATGCGCCATCTACTGTATCTGATGTACATTTACATTTAGTCATTTAGTGGACACTTTTATCTAAAGCGACTTACAAATGAGGAAATACGAGCAAAGCGATGTATCATGCGGAGAACAATACAAGTAGTGCTACCGTACAAGATCTATAATTGAGTTCTAGAGAAGCAAAGTGCGAGGTGTAAGAGCCAGAGGAAGGTTTGTTTTGGTGGGTCTTTAGCTGTTTTTTGAAGACGGTGAGAGATTCTGTGGTTCGGATTGAGGTTGGAAGTTCATTCCACCACTGAGGGACAGTTAGTGTGAAGGTTCTGGAAAGGGACCTTGAGCCACGCTGAGTAGGCTCTATTAAGAGGTAACCTATGACAGATTGCAAGAGGGAATGTAAGCCTTCTGGAGAGAGTTGAGGTAGGAGGGTGCTGTTCCAGACAAGGACTTGTACGTGAGCATCAAGCCCTTGGATTTGATATGGGTGTCTACAGGAAGCCAGTGGAAGGAGATGAAGAAGGGTGTGACATGGGTTCTTTTGGGCTCGTGGGTCAAGACGTGCTGCTGAATCATCTGAGGGGTTTGATGGAGCTGCTGGGAGGCCCGAGAGTATTGCATTGCAGTAGTCCAGTTTTGAGATGACAAGAGCCTGGACTGATAGTTGTGTAGCCTGTCTGGTGAGGTAGGGTCTGACTTTCTTGATGTTCTACAAAATGAACCTACAGGACCGTGCAGTTGTTGAGATGTGGTCTGTAAAGGTCAAGCTGTGTTCAAGAATCACTCCAAGGTTCCTGGCCGTCTTGGTTGGCTTGAGTGTGCTTGAGCCGAGCTGTACATTGAGATTGTGGTCGATTGATTCGATTTCGCCAAGTTCAGCTTAAGGTGGTGTTCCCTCATCCAGTCCGAGATGTCCGACAGGCAAGTAGAGATTCATACTGCTTGCCTGATGTACTCCCTCCTGCAGCTCCTGCACTAATGCCATGTCTATGCAGTTTTGTCTCTGGCCGTAAGCAGAAACACTATCAAGACTGATGTTCTGACTGTGAAGAACTTGCAGGGGTGATGTCGAAGGTACATTACTGGGGTCCCGCATATTTATTTCCCTGATCAATGGTGCTGCCAAAGATTTTGAAACAGACTAGAAGTATGTCGTTGAGTTAAACCACATCTATGTGTTCCATGCAGATAAAGTAACATCTCTCCAGACAATTCTGGATAACTTAGATGACGTAGCAGTAAAATGACAATTAAAAAAAATCTAAATGCAGTACCATGACAGTAACATTCATGAGAAACCCATCTCCTTCTATTCTTCTCTATTTGTCTGGACAACAGCGCATGGTGCTTTCAAGGTGCTTAGACCTTGGATACGATCTGATCTACAGTGGGCCCAACATCCAGCAGCATGGCATGGAAATTGGACACAAGCTATGTTAAACTATAGACTATTTACGGAGCCTACTCTACTTATCAGGATGAACTGAAAGCCCTTTCATTGACCACTCTCCAAACGAGAAGGAACAAGCTGTGAGAGGACTTTGTCTTCAGCCTTCTCAATTCTCCTTTTAAGGAACTAACTGTCACCTCTCAATGCCCAGACGTCAGTCCAGCAAACTAGGAACTGTCTACAAATACAGATGCTGAAAATAAGGAAAGAGAGACGTAGAAAATCACCCATCCTAACCGTCCATCCATCCATCCATCCATCCAAAACACATTTCTATGAATAAAACACGTCTGAAAAACAGCAGAGGTCACAGAGTGAGCTTCTGCAGGACAAGTATTGTCCAAAACATGAGAGTGTTTTAAATTAAGCACTTCAAACTAACTCCTAAGTGTATTAACGTGGCTTAAAGAAACTGACCACTGGTTCACGTGGTATGCAAAATATGCTAACCGCTTAAACTTGAGAACATTTCACCTGTCAGATTTCTCTGCTGCGTCTATCTTTTTTATGCACGTGTTAAATGTTATGTATACCTTTTTAAAAGCATTCAAATAATACATGAGCATATTAAGGTTCCTCTGAGCAAAGAACCAGCTTTGAAATGGCATTTCCTAATTCCCCAGTGTCTGGTACAAAGCAAACACATTGCTCATTTTTAATTCATGAAGATTTACTCGAAGCCCTGTGATGTTAGGAAAATGCAATCAAGGAAATTCATGTTGAGTCACTGAGTCTTGATTATATGAAATAACAGCGCAGGGCGATACGAGGCAGTGGTGGCTCAAGGTTAAGGCTTTAGGTTACTCATCAGAAGGTCAGGGGTTCAAGCCCCAGCACTGCCAAGCTGCCACGGTTGGGCTCTTGAGCAAGACGCTTAACCCTTTTTGCTCCAGGGGGTGCTGTATCATCTCTGTGCTCTGACACCAACTTCCTGACATCATGGGGTATGCGAAGAAAATAATTTCACTGTGCTGTAATGCATACGTGACAAAAATTCTTCTTCTTCTCCTCCATCCAGCAGAGGATAGCCCATTAGCTAGCACACTTACACCAGCCACTCCTGATAAATCCCAAATCAACAAACCCCAAACAAACACACGTGAATGTCATTGGAAGCGTGTGAGATAAGCCAAGTGCAGAATAATATTTGATTAAGTTAATCCAGTTTCCTGACACGTGCGTTACATTCAGACTCAGACAGGATTGGACGTGTCTCAGTGTTATACGATAGACTCCATCTCTTTTAAAATATCCTGTTGTTCGTGTATTCCTTCCTTTTCTCTCCTTCTTTTTCCTTTCCACCCTTTTCTTCCTTCATTCCTTCCTTCCTTTCTATTTTTCCTCACTTCCTTATTTCCGGCCTTCCTTTATTTCTTTTCTTTTTGTCTTTCTTCATATCCTTCCTTCCATCTTTCTTTATCTCTGCAGTAACTATGGCAGGTTACCGAGGAACAATAAGAAATTCGCTGCTTGAGCTAAACCTAACAAACACCTATGTTATCAGATGAAAGTCACACAAACCCAAACCGAAACCTGTCGTCCTTGACAGAACTGACATTAAACAATGTTGGAGCAGCAGTGAGACCGGTGCAGGCCGTAGCAGTGGTGCTAGATTCCCTCCGCTCTGCACATCGGACTGTATTTTCTGCTCTAACACGCCCACGCTGACTCAGGGAGGAAGTGTTGATTATTTCAACCAGGGGGGAAAACAGTTGAATATCCAGAGCAGAGAACCAGAATTGAGAAGAAGTGGCCAAAAACCAGTAACAACGATTATTTCTATTAGCTTAGCTGATATAGGAGTAAAAAGTTATGAATGTGTGTATTTTGTTTGTTATATTCAAGTAAGCTCAAGAAAATACAAAATAAATGCGTAAAATAATATATGTTTAAACATATTTTAAGATTAGCCCAAAATCTAGAAACAAGTAAAAAAAAATATCACTATTTATTTATAGTAGTTATATCATACACTTTCTGTCAAACTGTCAATCAAAGTAGTGTGCTGATTTATGACCGCTTGGGTTCCCCTGACTGACAGTTCTGTGGGTAACCTAATTTATGACCAGGGGTGGGGGGGAGGGGGGGGTAACCCTATCGACTGTATCAGTGGGTCATTCTGGTACCTGTATGTCTGGGTTGTGTCCTTCCTTTCCTGGGGGTGTGTTTTGTTTATTGTAGGGGATCTCCACCAATAAATGTGTTGATGTTAATGAGACGGTTGTGAAAGGTGTTTCTCCCTGTATTAATCACACACAATGTATACCTTTCTGTGGTTTACGAGAATGATTGTTTTCCGAAATTACTGCTTGTGTTATTGTTTTATTTTGAAGCTTAAGGATGGTTTAGGTGAAATACGTCTGATGTAGGAAAAGAGTATCAAATGGTTAATATTGGGTATTCGTGTGTGTTACTATGTGGGGGATTTTGTTTTGTGTAACTACACTGTTAGAAAAAGCATGATGGTTGAATGTGAATATATATGAGCAGAATGTTTGCTTGTGAAATAAATGAAAACAACTGTTGGTTACGTGTTTGGGAGAACGGCGTGACTTTGAATAAACATTTACTGAAATAAAACCCCTGAAACAGATAAACCATCGATAAGGCCAAAGAAATGAGAAAAATCTTTTTCCATACTTTCTAAACATAAATCTTTAGGAGGTAAAATGTTTAAAAGTGCTGTTTAAATGAATCGAGCGTTTTGTTTCAACTTTAAACAAGTTTTCAGAAAATGGTTCTCCAACGAGGATACTTACACAGAACTGTCGCTAAGTACATACGCTCTTGTCTATGCTTTGACGTCCCATGTCCACGCTGGCTGACAGTCATGTACATTTATGACCTTTGATACACTGTTTGATCTGAATGTGTGATCTTTCCTGGCAGTTGTCTGTCTGTGTGTGTGTGTGAGAGAGAGAGAGAGAGAGAGAGAGAGAGAGAGAGAGAGAGAGAGAGAGAGAGAGATGTGTGATTTCTGGGGGTTTGCTGACCAGAATGCTTTACAAATGTGTTTATGTTAACAAGTTAAGGAGGAAGTCGTGCGTCTCAGTGCTAAAATAATGGTTAAGAAGCTGTAGTTAAAACACTGAAGAAACTCTGCAACTATCTGTTACAATGTCTGCTCCGAGAAATCCCAATACCCCTAGAGGAACACTGTGTATTCACCAACAAGAGGACCTGCTGAAATGAGAGAGAACCTGACTTCTGCTCCAAGAAAAAAACCCAAGATGTTAGTTTGACCATTTCTTCACGAAGATATTGTAAAGACGTTGTTTAACGCTAAAGTCTGAGGGTTTATTTAGGAGGTAGAAAAACATTTAAAGATGATGTTTGAAAAGAAACGGGTGTTTCGTCCATAATGGTCAAAATAGAAAAATAGTTGTATTCCAATGTGAAATAAATGGGTGTAGACACTATGAGTACATATCCGTTGCACAGTCTGTAAGGATCCCCACCCTTAATGTAGAGTGAAAAATGTACATACACTACATGACTACGTTATTTAAGGTTTGAACATTTTTATTTTGTGATGGCAGCAAGACAAAAATGTTGTACATTGGGTAACTGGTGATTATAGAATTAGGCCCCTACTGTCAAATATGTTTTGTGAATGGCTTTGTCAGGCAAAGAACATGTTGGCATGAAAAGGGCTGAATGGCAGAGTGTCACGACTGTCACGTTCCGTGACATAACGGAAGATAAGGCAGAAGCAAACGCAGCATGAACAGTTGTTTTATTTAAAGAGACAGGCAGACAAATCCAAATCGTAACCCGTAAACGTAATCCAAAACAGGCGAGGTTCGGCGATCGGCATACACTTAGGCAAGGCAGAGATCAAGGTCGTGGTCACAGAAAACAGGGTCAATAAACAAAACATGAAACGTGGCATACAGCGAGGCACTGGTAGTGGAGAAACCAGTGAACTAAACTAACTAACCTAAACATTAAACATGAACTAGAACTATGACTATGACTTGAAACATGAAACTATGAACTATGACTATCGCATTAAACTTATCTAATCTAACATCTAAATCATCTAAGGTTAATCTAATATTTCGCCTTGAGTGTTGTGAGGCACGCGGTATATATGCTGACATGATTACCCTCGTCACTGCTAACAGCTGAGGGTAATCCAGACACACGTGACACCATAACCAATGACATGACGCGCTCACATATTCCATAGCGGTGGGGATCCTTTTAGACTGTGCAACGGATATGTACTCAGTGTGTCTCCACCAATTTATTTCACATTGGAATGCAACCAAGGGCGCACGGTGGCTTAGTGTTTAGTACGTTCGCCTCACACCTCCAGGGTCCGGGTTTCGATTCCCTCCGGGGCCATGTGTGTGTGGAGTGTGCATGTTCTCCCTGTCCTGTGGGGGTTTCCTCCGGGTACTCTGGTTTCCTCCCCCAGTCCAAAGACATGCATGGTAGGTTGATTGGCATGTCTAAAGTGTCCGTAGTGTATGAATGGGTGTGTGAGTGTGTATGTGATTGTGCCCTGCGATGGACTGGCACCCTGTCCAGGGTGTACCCCACCTTGTGCCCCATGCTCCCTGGGATAGGCGCCAGGTTCCCCGTGACTCTGAGGAAGGAATAAGCAGTTGAAGATGGATGGAATACAACCATTTTTCTATTTTGACCATTATGGACGAAACACCCGCTTCTTTTAAAACATCATCTGTAAATGTTTTTCTACCTCCTAAATAAACCCTCAGACTTAAGAGACGATCCTCGGAGTTGTTGAGGCCCCGCTTAGCGTTAAACAACGTCTTTACAATATCTTCGTGAAGAAATGGTCAAACTAACATTTTTTTTTTTAGGTTTTTTTGTTGGAGCAGAAGTCAGGTTCTCTCTCATTTCAGCAGGTCCTCTTGTTGGTGAATACACAGCGTTCCTCTAGGGGTATTGGGATTTCTCGGAGCAGACATTGTAACAGATAGTTGCAGAGTTTCTTCAGTGTTTTAACTACAGCTTCTTAACCATTATTTTAGCACTGAGACGCACGACTTCCTCCTTAACTTGTTAACATAAACACATTTGTAAGCATCTCTCTCTCTCTCTCTCTCTCTCTCTCTCTCTCTCTCTCTCTCACACAGACAGACAACTGCCAGGAAAGATCACACATTCAGATCAAACAGTGTTACAGAGGTCATAAATGTACACGACTGTCAGCCAGCGTGGACATGGGACGTCAAAGCATAGACAAGAGCGTATGTACTTAGCGACAGTTCTGTGTAAGTATCCTCGTTGGAGAACCATTTTCCGAAAACTTGTTTAAAGTTGGAACAAAACGCACGATTCATTTAAACAGCACTTTTAAACATTTTACCTCCTAAAGCTTTATGTTTAGAAGGTATGGAAAAATATTTTTCTCATTTCTTTTGCCATATCGATGGTTTATCTGTTTCAGGGGTTATTTCAGTAAATGTTTATTCAAAGTCACGCCGTTCTCCCAAACACGTAACCAACAGTTGTTTTCATTTATTTCACAAGCAAACATTCTACTCATATATATTCACATTCAACCATCATGCTTTTTCTAACAGTGTAGTTACACAAAACAAAATCCCCCACATAGTAACACACACGAATACCCAATATTAACCATTTGATACTCTTTTCCTACATCAGACGTATTTCACCTAAACCATCCTTAAGCTTCAAAATAAAACAATAACACAAGCAGTAATTTCGGAAAACAATCATTCTCGTAAACCACAGAAAGGTATACATTGTGTGTGATTAATACAGGGAGAAACACCTTTCACAACCGTCTCATTAACATCAACACATTTATTGGTGGAGATCCCCTACAATAAACAAAACACAC